GAAATTTGAATTGGATTTTGGTTCTGCTATCTCTCGTAACTTCCTCGCGCGATATAGTTTCCTGATAACTCCGATTTTTCAAAGCTCCAGAGCACTTCGGAGACACGTATCAACAATCTCCCTCGTCTAATTATCTTTTTGTTCTATTATTTATAAGAGAGAGAGAGAGAGAGAGAGAGAGAGAGAGAAGGTAAATTTACATAAATGAAGATATTTTAAATCATAATTAAAAATAAAAAGACATCAAGTTAGGTTTTTGGACAGCATTATTTACTGCTAATGCCTCGCTCATTGATTGCATATCTTCCGTTTTATATATTATTGCTGTATAGTCTTCATTTTTATTTGTTATGTATCAATAAAGTTATTATATTATTATTATTGCGTTATAACATGTCGTATATTTATCTGTTTACATGCTATACAAACATCGCTTTTTGGTTCTTCGAGTAAAAATCAAATTAAAGTAGTCCAGTCTACCAAAAAATATTATAGATGACGATTGTAGCGTCTCCTCGATGTGCTATAAATTTTCTTGATAGAAGAGTGTAGACTTGGCAGAATTTATGTGATAGAATTCTATTAGAAATACAACAAATCGTGTCGACGAAGTAAAGAAAATGAAGCAGCATGATTATATATTAACGGATTGATATTAACGGATTATATTAACAAATGCTGTCATGTTTACAAACTTCTGGGGTTCGATTATATATTTTAAAATGAAGTAAAAATGACAAAAGTAAACAAATTTTTATAATTTCATTCATCGATCGATACTTAATAAATTTGCTCGCTTTTGTAATTTTCATCCTGTTTCAAGATATATAATTGCCTCTTGTTCGCAAACTAACATTTAAAGGGAATATTGACTTTTTACTCCAATCTGCTATTATTTGTATCTGTTGACAGTTCGCTTACTGGACCTAACAAATATATGCCTGATTTTCGTATCAAAATATATGCAAATTGTATCAGAGAACAAAAGGAAGAAAGAGAAAATAAAAGAAAAACTTGTCGCAGTCATTCAGAAAAATATAAAGATAAGATTCTTTCTATAAAACAAATTATTTCCTTTTATTATCAGTTTATTTTTATTTTTGCTAATTACATATTAATTATTATTTTCTTGTATATATTTGCCTTTATTTTAATAACAATAACATGTGTTATATTTTTATTATTGCGACATCTTTAACTCGTTTATCTGATGCAAGTCTTCTCAGAAAGCACAGCATCGCAGTGATCTCGTCCGAATCACGAAAATTTAACGGGAACCACGTATCATCATCCCGTAGCGCTCTCTACCTGCTGTGTCCAAGATTAATTCACAATCGCGGCCACGGAGTCCTGGGCCCCCGAGGACCCGTGAGAATCCGACGGTGGATGAGAGGGAACGCGGAGAACGCGTCCGCTCGCCGTTGCGGGAGGTGTGTCTCGGTTCCATCGCGGTCGCGCGGCGGCCAGATTTCAACCCGAGACATTCTCTCTCCTCGGCACCGCATCCTTCCGCGTGAATCTCCTATCCTCTTGGTGTAACATATACATATACACTTTTATATATATATATATATATATA